ATTTGCTATAACCAAGGTTAACCATAATTAGTAAAACTAAAATGAAATGCTCTCAGTCATCAAAATACTCAGCTTGGACTACTGGAGAATTTATACTCCTATTTAAATGATATTTGAGGGTAAAATGGCTATTGGCCTAAACCTCAAACCTAGGGATCTTAACCACAAGACCTGTATAAAACATATGAAGTAAATAAGTAGTCTGTGGCCACCACTGGAAATACTATCCTTAGCTCTAAAATGGTAATTTATACTACCTATCATCTAAACCTTTAAGTCATCTTAAAGTTCCTAATTGTCAATGGAGAACACAAGACCTTCAAGGTCAAAATGGTGGACGGCAATCATATTTAGTGTTGGAATGTGTTTACCTGCGCTTCAGAGTTGGGTTAGACCTGCTGTAGGTTTATTTCCCATCCTGTTTCCTTGTTTAAAATCTGATCGAGTCCACTTGTTAAGATTTAGAGTATGAGAAAGCACCAGTTTACAGCAGCCATGGGTGTTACATATGAGACGTCTTTTTTAGTAAAGAGGTATGAAGGTAGTTTGTGATTCAAAGTAGTTATGTTCTAGAAGTTACTGAAACACTGAATTTAACAAACACCAAACCATTTGTTCATACCTCTGAACTTCTGGGTCCCATTTTTATCAACCAGTCAATATATAACCTTGTTTTATGTGTGCTTCTATTTAAAGACATCTTATTCATGTTGTTGATTCATTAACATTAAACTTGTAGTCAACAACAACAACAAAAAAAGAGTGCAATGGAATATTATCCAGCCATAAAAAGAGTGAAATCTTGCCACTTGCAGTGACATGGATGGAGCTAGAGAGTATAATGCTAACTGAAATAAGTCAATCATAGAAAGACAATACCATATGATTTCACTCATGTGGAATTAAAAAAAACGAGCAAAGAAAAATAAAGAGACAAGTCAAGAAACAGACTCTTAATTATTGAGAACAAATTGATGGTTACTAGAGGGGAGGTTGTGGGGGGATGGGTGAAATAGCTGATGGGGATTAGGGAGTGCTCTTGTCATGATGAGCCCTGGGTGATGTATGGAACTGTTGAATCACTATATTATACACCTGAAACTAATATAACACTTCATGTTAACTATACTGGAATTAAAAGAATGTAAAAATGAATAAAAAGAATGAATTTACCTTAAAATATTTTGCATCTACAGTTAGACTCTATACACAGGCTTATTTCTATGTCTCCTTGTAAGCAAAACCTACTCGAAGTTTAGCAGAACAAAGAACTAGTGAATTGAAAGGAAAACTGGTTATTTTAGAGTTTTTTAACTTCCATCTTAATTTATATACATTTTTAAAACTTCACGTATCCCATTTTAAAACCTTCAGCTATCATCACTTGTGGTGAGCATAGCATAAGTACAGAGAAGTTGAATCACTGTTGTACACCTGAAACTTTCTCTTTATCTGTCTGTGTATATATGTCTGTGTGTGTGTGTGTGTGTGTGTGTGTGTGTGTGTGTGTATTATTTGTAGGACTACTGGCCAAGGATCACTAGATTACTTGTACATACATTTTTCAAAGAACCCCATCGTTGCATTTTTTTTCTTCCTGCAGTTTTACTGGTTGATTCATTATTTTGTTCAATGATAAAATGAAAATTCTTATCTTCATTAAAGGATCCACTGAATCATCACATTAATTCAACTGTATTGCATTCTTGAGGTAGTCTTTCCAGCGTAAGTCTTAAGCCTTTTTTCTCTCTCTTTGGAAATACTATTCTAGTATTAATACAAATTGAAAACAGTGGCTAAGTTTTCCTTTTTTTCCTGTAGTCAGAAGGATCATAAGGTGGTGATAGGGAGAACAATTATGCTTTATTATATAAGTATCTATTTGCAATTCTTTGTGAAATCTTGGCAACTTACTCATCTTGCCTTGCACTCCAGTGAATTTAACCAATTGAATAATGGAAACCATGTTCTGTGTTTACTATAGTTGGATACATTTGGGGCACACTAATATTAGTTAAAGTAAATGGAAAAAGTGATAGCTTTAAGGATGAGTAAATTGGGACAAGTCAGAGGGAACGAGATTTATATACTCTGCAAAATAGTGAACTACTGCTGATTTCCTCATTTGGAGATGAATAATTAGGAATTTCAGATTTTGTACTTCTGTTTGAGTTTACATGATGCATTATTGAAGGATTTCTGCCTATAATTTGAGCTGTTAGTCTTTGAAAATATAGCTTTATATTTTATGTTCAATAAACATACTTTCAGTAACTAAGAACTGCACTGTATCCAAGGTAAACTTAAGCATTGTGAATGGTTTTGTTGGCATTTTCCCACCTTTAATATGATATCCATCAGTCATCCAAAGTTTATATTTATCCATGCTCTTTGGTTCAGCAATTCAAATTAAATTTTCCAAGTTTTATAATATTTGTTGTTATTGATATATAAGTATTTGATTTTGCTATATGAAGTTAACTGCTGAGCCATAACCCCCACATGAAGATAAGTCTTATTATTTTATTGCCATGTGTGAAATCTGTAACTACAAAATTATATGGATGTTGTGCATTATGCTAAAATAGTAGATGTGCCAGGAAAACATAACATTACTCTCAAATCTTGATTATCCATGTTTATAGTGGTGAGCATTGATGGAAGCATATATAGATTCCAGATCAATATAAATCACGTATATTTATTCCATTATGACATATAGTTCATAATATTTTGTATGCTCATGTATGTCTGTATGTATATATGTGTTTTTGTGTATCACAGATTTATTTTCATAATTATGCTTTTCTCTAAAACTATTTTTTAAAATTCTAATTTGCATTTCCTGTATATGTAGCTGTAGAGGTGATTGGTGAGATGGTAGCTTGAAATTCCTCAGCTGGTAATAATGTTAATTCAGTACAGAAGTAGGCTTGATTTAAAAAGTATGCTTATGGGGGTGCCTAGGTGCCTCAGTCAGTTAAGCATCCAACTCTCAGTTTTGGCTCAGGTCATGATCTCACGGTTTTATGGGTTCAGCCCTGCATTGGGGTCTGTGCTGGTGGTGTGGAGCCTGCTTGGGATTCTCTCTCTCTCTGCCCCTCCCCTTCTCATGCTGTCTGTCCCTCTCAAAATAAATAAATAAACTTAAGAAAAAGTATGTTTACATAGTTGTGCATAGAGAAACATGAGAGAAAATAGCTGGTTATCAAAGCTCCAATTTTGATATTTAAGTAATATATTGCTCAACCAAAGACAGTTTTCCTACATTTTAGCAAGTTGGTGTCACTGTTACTTTTGTAACAAGAAATACCAGGCCTAAAATATTCTGTATGTGTATTTTTTTTAAAGCTCTCCAGAAAATTCTGAAAACCAGAAATTTGGGTAATTAACATAGGGTATCATTAACATAGGGTAATCAAGCAGCAAGTCTATAGTTGTTCAATGATGATCAATTTCCCTACACTACTTCTCTAGTGTAAGGTAAAGTTAACCTTTGGACAACATCTTTCTTGTCCTTGAAAGATCATAGTATTATTCTGCCTGGGAAACAAAATTCTGACCCTTCCCTTCCTCCTCTTATATCTATGAGCAGATTCAAGATACAAAGTAAGACTTCCTATTTCTTGATTTGAAGAACACCTTTTGATCAAGGACTCCCGCATTCTGACAGTTAACTTAGTCATACTTTGGATGGTTTTATTTGCACATAAATATCCTGGAAACTTCTGTATGGAAAAGAATGCGATAATTTTTTTTTTTATTTTTTTAACGTTTATATATTGTTGAGAGAAAGAGAGAGACAGAGCATGAGAATGGGAGGGGCAGAAAGAGGGGGAGACACAGAATCCGAAACAGGCTCCAGGCTCTGAGCTTTCAGCACAGAGCCCGACATGGGGCTGGAACCCAAGAATCGCGAGATTATGACCTGAGCCAAAGTAGACACTCAACTGACTGAGCTACCCAGGTGCCCCGAATGTGGTAATTTTAATAACGGCAGTATATCAGTGTAAGTGATCTTTATTTTCAGATGATTGGTGATTAAAGGTTTAGGTTCACATGGGGATTGTAGGCCTGGTAATAGACCATTGAATTTTAAACTTTTAACTAATATTAACAAAGGAAATTTACCATTAAGGAAAGGAAAATTGCCATTTGCAAAAGAAATTTACATATTAAAAAGGAACTTGGAAACTTTTTCTATATCAAAGTTAAATAATTTACATGTGATATTTCTAAAATATTGGGTAAATGCTTGATCTTCCTTAGGCCCCTACATAAAGCCAGCCAATGTTATGAATTATCATTTTTCTAGATTGAGAATTTGAGGATAGCAAACTTTGTTAGCTTGAAACAATTCAGTGACAATTCAGGAAGAGAAATTAGGAAATAGGCATGCCAGTTTTTACTGCATATTCTATTCTTCATGTAACATTTTATTTTTCCTAATGTTCTAA